TGTCCCAAAAATAAATAAAAAACGTTGAAAAAAAAAAAAGAAGATTACGTGGTCCAAAAGGAACATGTTACGCAACATTTCACGTGCTCATCATCCTCTGCTTCCTCCGTCTCTAATCATCCCCCTCCCCAAAATTCTGCGAGCACAGAGAGGAAAAACTGTGAAGAACTTTTCGATTACAGGTCACCAGGAGGGAGAAGAGAGGAGACGTAACTCCATGCCGACCACGCTGGGTCTCTAAGAGGCTCAGACGGTGGCGTTTGCAGTAATCTCGAGATGGGGGGGGGAGGGGAGACAGGTTGATCTTGGGCTTGAAGTAGAAGAGATCTTTTCTTCACCTCTTCACTCAAGAAAATCCAGAAAACGCCTGAAACTAGGAAAGGTGGTGAGGCCAACTTACCGAAACACAATTCCTGCTATGAAGTAAAAAAGCCCGAGTGTATCCATGACATTCCACAGGTCAGTGAAATAATTCACCCCATTCATGTACCACTGCAGCACAGAAAGGGACAGAGAGAGAGAGAGAGAGAGAGAGAGCATCAGCAGCTGGGAAACATCAACTGCTTCCAGATTTTTTTTTAACGTTCACACATTTTTCCCCACATCCTTTTTGAGCCACATGTCCCATGTGCCCTGCCACATGCCCCGTGATATTCTGGGGGGATTGGAAAGTAGGTTGCACACTTGCTGTTCCGTTACTCATGTGCTGCTGACAAAGTCAGAAAAAGGACTCATGCACCATCGCCGTTCTTTAAAGATGAACCGGAAGACAGTGAGCACAACCTGCGTGGACAAATGTGGAACACCCAAGCTGCCCAGTACAGTGGTATAAGTTGTGCATTGCACAACTGACGACTGTCGTCGTCATAGATTTGCGTATTTGTTGTAAATACTTTTTGGCACATGGCAATAAAACATCTTGATAAAAGGAGTTTCTCTTTTTCTTTTATTATTTTAACGTTTATTATTGAGAGATGGAGAGAGACAGAGCACGAGCATGGGAGGGGCAGAAAGAGGGGGAGACACAGAATCCGAAGCAGGCTCCAGGTTCTGAATTGTCAGCACAGAGTCTGACGCGGGGCTCGAAATCACGAACCGTGAGATCATGACCTGAGCCGACGTCAGATGCCTAACCGACCGAGCCACCCAGGCGCCCCAGGAATTTCCTTTTTTACTTTGCACACAGGTGTTCTATGCGGCACCTATGAGGACAGGTGCAGTCGCAGAAATGACTGACAGGAACAGTGTGCCTCAGGGACCCTTTCATCATGACTTGTGGGTATTGGGTATGATTTCTCAGAAGAAAACTTGTCAGGAGATAAAGAGGGAAAAGACGATCCAGTAGAAGGACAGCCCCTTGGTGATCTGTCTGCTGGGTCTGGGGGACCCAGGGTAGTCACCTGACCCTCCCGTCCGTCCCTCTATTTCAAACCTGTTTACCGAGAGCCCACAGGATTCCATATATCCGTGCCGGGCTCCTGGCACACAGGATGTCCGATTAGGTGCGATGCTGATTCTCAAGGAATCCACTGGCCCCGGGGAAAGGCAGTCACTGGACATGTTTAAAATGAAACGCGGTAAGGGCTGGAGGGCTGGTGACACCAAGCCCAAGTGAGCTCAGATAAGGAAACCACCAGACTTACTTGAGCGACGCAGGAAAACATCGGCAAGGACGTGTCCTCAAAGGTACGTGGCACTTTTCAATTTCACTACGAAATCAAGCACCAGGGAAATAAAATCTCCCAGCCCCGGTTCGACCACGTTCCTCTGTGGGATGGCTAAACGCGGGGGCCCAGAAACCGCATCAGCATCCCTCACCGTCCATGCGGGCGGCCCCAGTCTCACCGATGACCCGCCAAGAACCGTCTGTAAGATGAGAGCGGTGGGGACAGGCCCCAGCCACCTGCTCCCCCTTTAAAACCCTGATCCGGGAGGCAGATAGGAACACAGCAACCAGGTGGATCCAGTCCAGCTCGGCCTCTCAGAATCCTGGCCTGAGCCGGGGGAGAAACCCTGAACAGATCGAGCCCGGGGCTTGGAGGCACTGTTGTAGTAAGAAAGCGGGGTTTTTTGTTTTTTTTTTTTTTTTTTTAACGAACAGAGGCCTCTTTTCTGAGTGGAATGACAGACAGGGGCTATACTCATCAAATACCAGAACCATATTCCAGCGTATCTTTCAGGATTTGGGGATTCCATGGGCCTTAACACTGAAGGGGTGATGGAACTCATCTCGTGTTGCATAAAGATCCACAATTTGATCGATGGACGCTTGTACATACGGACTGCCTTGGTTGAAAATGTCAGTTTAGCCTATTACAGCCGCCCCCGGGGAAGGAGATATAAGGAGAGTGCACTTTGGGATACCCAGACACAACCTGAAACAGGTAACATCCCGTCTGGTTCCGGGTTTTTCCTAACACGTGTGAATTCGGTTCATTAAGACAGTGCCAGGATAGCAAAGCAGATTCCTGGAGGAAACCAAACTGAGGATTCCAGCCGCACGAGTCTGCAGGCAGAAGAGAAACAGCGACCCCCAGCGTCGGATTCCTTGAACGACGAGAAACCCGGAGGCCATGCTCCCCAGTCTGGCTCACAGACCTCAGGGTCAGCTGTCGGGGGCGCAGAGATGGACTTGAATCTTTTCATCCCCCTCCCCGCCGCTCTCAACCCTCAGCCCGAGGCACTCCCATACATCGCCTTAACGCACACAGGATCGATGAATGAAACCGGTCCGTTCCAAAGTGATGTTTAAGAGGAAAAAGAAGAGGGGCGCCTGGGTGGCTCAGTCGGTTAAGCATCCGACTTCGGCTCAGGTCACGATCTCAGTCTGTGAGTTTGAGCCCCGCGTCGGGC